TGCTCTGAGCACTGCATGAATACACTAAAGTGCTTAATATAGCTCAATAAATGCTAGCTATTATTAGACACTACAAATTCACAATTATTCCTCATCTTGAGGGTGCCAATTCCCTAAAAAAAACTGCCTAACATTAAGGAAACTAATGTCATACCAGTATTGTCCACAAGCAGAAAGTAAATGTATTTTAGCTATCTGTGATGAACCATAATCAGAAAACTCACACATTATAATATACTTCACCTAAAAAATAAAGTTGCAATAAAAGAGCAAGTAAATGAGCATAAAATATAGATTAGGTCCTTGTCAAAGGCAACAATATATCTTTGGTAGTTTTATTCATTTGAACTCTAAAAAGCAGCAAGGACAAAAATGGCTGCCTCCTGGTTTTCTCTGTCACTAACAGGTGGATCATTTCACTCCTCCCACTTTGCAACTCCCTACTATTTTGTAAATCCTGTGAGCCCAGGGACATTCCACATTGCTGAATACCCCTGAACTGGATCAGTGCTTGATATGTAATAGGTGTTCAATAACTTTTTTTATTGAACCATTCCATATAATGAATAAACTCCATATAAATGAATGCTTTCCATATTTTCTAAAACAAATACCAGTCCAGATTCTTGCCATGGCCTTCAAAGCTGTCAACCATTCTAAAATTGCAATTGTTAACCTGAGACTCAAAGAACTGAAGGGACTTCAAAAATCATCTGATTCATTTACTAATTTTATTTATAGATCTCCAAAACTGAGGACTTCACAGGCAACTAAATAATTCCTCATTTACTGGCTGTCTCTTTATTGGGCACCTACCCCACAGTAATCTTAGTTACTCAAAACTACTTAGAGGCAAAACAACTCCCATTTAGTGGGCACCTGATGAGACAGTGTCAGATACAATGAGGTTTAGAAAATGTGGACTCTGCTCTCAAGGCAATTTCAATCTAGAAGGAGACAAATTATTGCAAATAAAAAATGAATAACTTATAAGAGTCAGTAGAGAATTAGGAAATATTATACAGTACCATCTGTAAATGCTACTGTGGTATAAGAAGGGGAGATCAAAGAGGTCTAGGCTACTCAGGACAGAGGGAACTAGGAGCTGGGCCTTGGGTGGTCCCAGATGCCTGGGAACAACAGGGTATCTCAGACTCAAGGTGCAGAGACAGAAAAAAGTTTGATTGTGGTTCTGAGGCACAGAGAGTCTGCCTGTTTTGGACAGACAGTGAATGCTGATGAATGGTGGGAAAAGCTGAGTTAAAAAGATTATAAATTACTTGGAAAATTAGGCCAAGTATTTTAACCTCCATGTGGTAGAGAAAGGGAAAAAGTCATAGAATGTTTTGAATAAAGGAGTGACCTTAGTAACCTGTTCCAGTTAAATCACCCTCATAATCAGGAAGCTCTTCAAGCCCATCAAAGTTTGTTCTCCCAATAATGTACGTCCATGTTCTGTTTTGGTTCTCTGTGTCAGGGAAAATATGACTGGTGAGTAGACTCACCATAATAAATTTTTATACATGTTAAGGCATACATAAACTCATCCCTTAACATCCATTCCAGATGACACTACTTAGCTCCTATTTCTTTCTTTTTATTTTTTGGTGGAGGGAGTTTATTGGGTGTTTATCTATCTATCTATCTATCTGTCCATCTGTTTGTCCGTCCATCCATCTATCTACCTACCTACCTACCAATCTATTTTGATGGCAGTGCTGGGGACTGAACCCAGGCACACACTCTATACCACTGATCTATACCCTCACCTACCTCCTATTTCTTTATAGCCTGTAACTTCTGCTTCAATCAGGTAAACACTCTTGTAGAATTCTAATTTTTATCTCTATCCCATCTACACGTGGAATAAGTTATCCTTTCTGTAACCACTTTAAAAACCACATTTAAACTCTTTTGAAGAACACTTTCCTTAAGTAGATATTGATTCCTGTAAGTGCCTTTTAAGCATTCCTATTCCCATTACACTGTTACTGAAGTCTATACAGTCTTATCTATATGTGTTCCGCATATCTGTTAGTCTGTCTTATCCCCCCAGTAAATTGTAAGGTCTGTCTCACTGCTGTATTTATTTTCACAATAATTACAGTCAAATAGTAATCACATCCTATTTGAGAGATGAGGAGAAGAAGTGCCCTAATTATGAGTACATTCCTCCAAGCTCCTAGCATGTTCTCTAACACGTTATTAAAACTAAAAAATTCTCCTGTAATGGTTACAGTACCTTTTCTGGTACCAAATGGCATAATATGCAAGTAAACATAATTTGTAACAATGTCTTGCAGCTGTAACTATACTATGTACACAATACACATCCAAAGGTTTAGATAAAAATTAAACAAGATACTATCAGTACAGTGCAGAAGATTAAAAATTAGCTACACAATCTTAATCTTAATCCACCAGTGTTTCTTTTTAAAGAGCAACAGTGTTTACAATTTGTGTTCTACTTGGTGAGTTGAGCATCTTTTTAAAAATCAATCTTCAGTGACACAGACCTATGAGAAAAACACAAACAAAAATATCAACCAACTACGTACATATACTATTTGCTGAGGAGAATCGCAAAGAAAATAGAAGATATCATTCCTGTCCTTTCGAGAACATTTTAGCTTGAATTAACGATTTAGGAAGAAAATAAATGAAAAGATACAAGCCTATTAAAAAGCAAACAGGACACAAAACTGTATAAGCCATGTATTCACACATATGCAATACTGTATAACTTAGTAATTATGTAGTCTTATATGCACGATGCACAAAATCAAACTCTCTCCATCCCAGGTCCTAAATTACCAGCATGTAGTTTTCAGGGGTTATTTTTATTACTCTCAGGACTATAGACTAGTTCCTACAGTCAGCAAAGAGTTCCACAATCTTATCTTTTTCTATTTCCCAAACTCTGCTGACACCAAAAGTATATTTCCTGCACGCTCACAAGCAAGAATAAAGAGAAAAGTAATCAGATAGAGTATTTATTTAATAAGGCCACTGTTACCCCTCCCACCTCTCTCCTTCCTTAGTCATTACACTGCGTTCACACACAGTGGCAACTTCTTCAAGCGCCACGGTAGTCCTAAATCCACAAGCACACACCTGGGAGCTGGGCTGCTTAGGCTCATCCATTCTGGCAGGAGACTCACTTCTCGCTCTGTGTCTCTCGGTCAAGGGAACAACACTGCCGGAGGGGCTGAATCTGTTGGAAGAGGAGCACAAAGGGGCCTAATAGACAAGTAGTGCCAAGGAACATAAAAAATGGTGATGTCTATATTCTTTACCCCATGGCTGAGAAAGAGGGAACAAATTGGACAACAGATTTCTAAGAAATACTTTCATGGAGTCCCTATAGAATCTGGTATGAAATTTTAAAAAGTTTGCCTTAGTAGATTAAAGAAATACATAATGACAGTGGATTTGACCTGGGGAAGCTAAGGCTAAATGTAAGCTTCTCGCCTTACATAAGTACTAGGAGACCAAGAAAAGAACAAATTAAAACTGGGTCTGTAATTTTGTTTCTTCTACATAACTCTTAGGTTTTCGGTTGATCTCTTCTCCAAGCCCCACGATAACTTGTATATTTCAGACTGTTGACGTAGATAATGGAGATTAAAAATTTTTGCATTTGAGCTATTAACTTGCTACAGTTCTAACTATAGTGGAGGGACAAAAGTGCTAATTTAGGGGGACAATAAGTATTATGCTCAAGAGTATTTTAACTAGTAAGGACACAAGAAGGAAAATACTCAAATGGAGACCACCTGACGCGAATACAGTATATACTCGCCGAATTTTGGTGACACGTGTGTCTCTCAAGACCAAATGTGAACCAAAGTAATAGCTACTTTAGTTACCATTGTTCATATGGTCAATTTAAAGTTTTTAAGAAAGGAAAAGAACAAATATTACAAAGTTGGTAATATTTCTTTCTTTTAATTGAGACTTTCTTTCAACTTACTTAGATTAAAATTATCATTATTTCCACCAAAAAGAAATGTTCTAACAACTGCTATGTATTAGAAAGAGAGAAGTGGGCAAACGGCATAGTAGCACTGATGAAAAAAAGACTCTCAGGTTTGTGGTAGCAGTTGTCATCAATAAAACAGAAAAGATACCGTCAAATGACAAGCGAAGAAAAGTAATGAAAAACATTCAAAAAGCTTTTCTTTGCAATTACTCTGATTACACTGATTTAAACAGGACAATCACTGCTGGTACCATAATTCCTCTAATTTGGTATAGATGGGCACAAAGAAAACAGTGCGACAAAGCAAAGTGAAACTCCCAGAGGCCACCTACCTGTGTGAGAACGTACCAAGGAAGGGCAATGCAGTCAGATTCCCAGCTGAAGATCAGCTCTCTTCCTGGAATTCCGAGGAAGCCCTGGCAATTACTGATCCTAGTGTGACTGTAGACGCTATTCTGATTCATGGAAGTGTCTAACTTTACCATAGTTCTCACAATACTGTGAATACTTCAGGACTAGGAGCTTCCTGCTTTAAAAAAATTAGAACGCGAGTCTTTTGGCACACTTCCAGTTTCCCCAATATCAATATAACTTTGAGAACATCAAGTAAGGAAGATGCTCTTTGTATCACATAGGGCCTGCTTTAGTGATGTCTGAACAATAGCTATTAGATGGCAAACAAAATAAAACTTACCTGTCAATTTCACTGCTTGTTGGCCGAGCCACCTTGGCTCCTGAAGATCCTAAAGTATAATTTTCCTGTCCTATAGAACCATGGCCTGTGGTGTCAATCACCATGGCTGTGACTTCCTCTGCACTACTCCCATCTTCTCCGGAAGGCTGATTCTCAGGCCCAAGCCACTCCTCCAGATTTTCAGTTTTGATGTGCACTGCTCCAAGAACCCTAACTTCATCATCACTCCGGGCCCCTCGGTCTGCTACTCCTGTCTCCACGTACCACTGTCCTGCTCGGTTGATCCGAAGAATGGGCTCCCGGCTCTCTACATCAGAACTCTGTTCAATTATCTGGGGGCTGGTGGACTCCTCGGGAGGACTGAGCTCCCTGATATCCAGCACGGCACTAACCTGACCTCGCCGGCTTGCCTTTGGGGTGTTTTGTCGGGGGCTAAGGGAGCGGTTCAGATTTGGTGTAATACTATGAGACTCTGGAGGTCTCTCTGGATGCTTTGTCCTCGTTTGACTTAATTCAGCTTCAACCTCAGCCACATTAATTTTGAAATGAATGCCCTCCAGGATCTGTGTACATTTGTCTATAATATGCTGCATCTGCAGAAAACTGGCAGCTGTCAGGTAGCTGATGATATCTGCCAGTTGCAGGCATATCCGCCCCGTATAACAGAAAGAAAGGAGCTGTTCAAAAACAGTAGGGTTCTTGATGACTGAAATGGAGACAGTACTCATCTCATTCAAGGACATGTGATCTCGGAAATAGGGGGAGCTGGCAGCCAGTACCACTTTGTGAGCCCGAAAAGCCTGTCCTTGCACATTGACCACGATGTCACAGAGACGGCCCTGCATGCGCAGCTGGTTTAGATGGCTCAGGACAGAGTTGCTGAAGTCAGGGATCTCCAGTTGTATGTTGCCACCTTTCTCCATGGTCGTACCTGAGGTTGTAGGCAGGCATTCAACCCTGCTGAGAGAGGAAACCGTATGCTCCTTAATAATGATAATTTCACTCCCCTCAGGCTTTCCAATTCAAACCTATTTTAAAACACTACTTGGAGAAGTTTCAAAATTTCCAAGTAAAAAGAGATACATGTTTAAATATGGAAAACAAATACCAACAGGTTTATTAGTTTAGGTTTCACAGCAAGATACTGTTAAAACAAAAAAGCGATTGTTAGACTTCTAAAAATTCAACCTAAGCCAGTACTTTCCTTACTAATAAGCTATGTAATCTCAAAACAGACATTCAACAGACGGGGAGAAAGCAGCTGTGAAAGTTGTTTAAGTGTTAATCGTAAGGCATTTGCACACAGAATATACAGTCCTGTGTTCTAATTTTTTTCTGGAGAAGGAAAGAAAGCTTTTAGAATAAATGCAGTTCTATATGGATGGGCTGATTAGATACTCTTCTTAATATTTTACTACATGCTTTATGAGTTATGTTTATTATTGCATGAAGTGACTAATATCCCACAAGAATGTAAGCCATTATTTCTAAGCTGAAGAGTCAGAGCCCCCACAGAAAGGCTTTGGGTTTAGGACTCAGAGGCAAAATTTAGTTTAGGAAGAAAAGCCGAGTTGTGTTGGGACTCTAACAAGATGCAGACAACCTGAAGTTTACTCTCAGGACTAGGAAAAGGTAGGCAAACCTGCCTCTATCTAAATTGAAAGTTGGGAATTTCAGAGTGGTAATGATACTTTGGTTCTGAAATTTAGGTCCCTAAAGCTGATAAGAAAACAGCATTTACCAAGTAGCTTCAATGTTGTTACATTAAAATATTTTTTAAAAAAATAGCTGAACCACTTAAACCTGTTAACTACATCCAACAGCCTTGACTGGTTGAGAGTAGTTTGTATCAATCCCAATAGGAAGACACTGACTTGAGCCCAATGTGTTTCCACTTATCTGTAAATTTATAGACATTTACATAGTTACTTAAGACCTGAAACTTTGGGAACTTATCCTGACACGCTCATAGTACTGCCCCGTATTTACAACACACTCATCAGTAAATAGGGTAGTGTACACACTGATTTCAAGAACCAACTTTAGCCAATCTGACCTTTTTCCAAAGCGTTTTTGTTTGTTTTGGAACTTTTAATCCAATAAGAGCCTCTGTCGTTGCCATCATGAATTCAGATGTTTATTTTGGAGCCTACACCAGCGCCTTTTTTGTTTGCTCTTTCCGGCAATTCCCCAGTGAGGAGGAAGCCCCTGGAGTAAGGTCTTTCTCTACCGTCGGCACTGGAGGGGTGCAAGCTGTAAGAGGGAGAATCGGGAACGGCATGGGGTTGGCCACTCCGGTACTTGGGTGGCTTTCGTCTGCGTTAGGAAGCGTGGGGAGCGGGGAACTGGCAGAGGGGCGAAATGTCACCGAAAAGCGGGGATGGAAAGGGGAGCAAGGCATGTGGCGGGGAGCGAGCAATCAGGTGAGGGTAAAGCACCGGGAAGGGGGCGGCGCCCCGGGACCCGGTCCAGGCAGTAGGCGTAAGCAGGCGGGGAGCTGCCCAGAGGTGGGTGTGTGTATCTGGGTGTGTCCGGGCTGCCGTGGGGAGGGGCCGCCCAGCCCGGGGTCCTGAGGGAGGGCCCGGCGAGGG